CAGGTGATATTGTAAACAAGAAGTGGTCAGTATTATCTCATGCAAATGTAAACAAACTTTTTTCTCTGAGCGATTGGCTGAACAAGAAGTAGGACTGAGTGGACTTGCAGGCTCTAAAATGTTATATTGTTTTATTTTTGAATGCAGTTTTTTTGTACGTAATTCTACATTTGTAAGTTCAACTTTCATGATAAACAGATCACACTAGAGTACTTGTATTAGGTGAATTGAAAAATACTATTTCTTTTGGGGGTTTTTACAGTGCAAATACTTTTAACAAAAAATAAATATAAAGTGAGCATTGTACACTTTGTATTCTGTGTTGTAATTGAAATCAATATATTTGAAAAATGTAGAAATAAAATATTTAAATAAATGGTATTCTATTAGTGTTGAACAGTGCGATTAATCGTGTGATTAATCACGATTTAATTTTTTAATTGCACGATTGTGATTAATTTTTTTAATAGCTTGACAGCCCTAATGAATAGACATAACTAAACCTGTGAAAGTTCATTGTGTAAACAGGTCCTTAGCTAACTCAGTTTTAAAAAGCACCTTTTTCCAAAGTCCGTTCCAGGTCTAGACAGGGGCCTTGGCTAGAAACACTCTGGATCCCATTATCTGAAAAAAGGGGGACCATGTGTTTAGAATAACAAACCAGGTTACCCCTGTGCCCTTTTCCTCTCTGTTCCATACTGACTCCTTTGTATCCCCTTTCACAGTCCCAGTGTGTTACCATATTTTTACCCTGTCCCATGCAGTCACTACTCTTTTGTGACAGGTTTCAGAGTAACAGCCGTGTTAGTCTGTATTCGCAAAAAGAAAAGGAGTACTTGTGGCACCTTAGAGACTAACCAATTTATTTGAGCATGAGCTTTCGTGAGCTACAGCTCACTTCATCGGATGCATACCGTGGAAACTGCAGCAGATATTATATACACACAGAGCATCTGGGGACAGGACTTTGGGAGTTTAGACAAGGCCTTAGGGTAACATCTTCTAAGGTGCCTAAGTGACTTAGGAGCCTAATTCCTACTTCCTACTATCAAAAGCTCTTGAAGTCACACAGGAGGCTAAATCCGGATGAAAGTCAATCTTGGACAGACTGGAACTAGAAGTGAAATAATAATAATTAATACCTAGCTCTTCTGTAGTGCTTGTCATGAGTAGATCTCAAAGTGGTTTACAAAGAAGGGCAATATTTTTATTCCCATTTTGCAGATGGGGAAACTGAGGCACATAGAGGGGAAGTGATTTGCCCATAGTTACCCAGCAGGGCAATGCCAGAGCCAGAAATAGGGCCAAGGTCTTCAGAGTCTTAGTCTGGTGCTATAACCACTAGGTCACCTTTAACACTACTCTGACCTCCCCTCCCTCAAAACTAACCAATCTCACTTAATTTGGGGCTACATTATAATTGTTACCTTATAGGTGAAAATAACACCAGTGTAAGGGATTGGTATATAGCTTGTGGAATGGCTTTATTCCAGAAAATACAGGCTATGTACTGGTTCATGTCTCATTATTCTCAGCTGTTCACAGTCCCTAGGATACCATGGGCAGGTTGACTGTGAATCACAGCAGCCCTGAGGCGACTCTAATTTATATTGGGGTGCTGGAGAGGCCCAGAATACTGGAAGGTGCAAATGTGGTTTAAATCTTAAAGCCAAGTTTCCTCTCCTCTCCCCCCCACCTGGAGTGAGAAATGGGCCCAGAGTCAGGGAGTGGGAGGACCCAAGTCGAGATTCCTGACCCATAGGGTTGCCAACTTTCTAATTGCACAAAACCAAACACCCTTGCCCTGCCCTGCCCGAACGCCCCAACCCGCCCCTTCTCTGAGGCCCTGCCCCCACTCACTCCAGCCCCCCCTCCTCCCGGTGCTTGCTCTCCCCACCCTCACTCACTTTCACTGGGCTGGGGCAGAGGTTTGGAGAGTGGGAGGCGGTGAGGGCTCCAGCTGGGGGTATGGGCTCTGGGATGAGGCCAGAAATGAGGGTGCAGGAGGGGGCTCTGGGCTGGGGCAGAGGGTTGGGGTGCAGGAAGAGGTGCAGGCTCTGGGAGGGAGTTTGGGTGCAGGAGGAGGCTCAGGGTACAGGCTCCAGCTGGGTGGCGCTTACCTCAGGCAACTCCCAGTCAGTGGTGCAATTGGGCCGAGGCAGGCTTCCTACCTGCCCTGGCTCAGCACTGCTCCCGGAAGCGGCCAGCGGAGGGGCCAGAGGGCTCAGCGTGGTGCACGCTTCATGTGTCTACAGGTGCCACCCTCACAGCTCCCATTGGCTGTAGTTCCTGGCCAATGGGAGCTGTGGAGCTGATGCTCCAGATGGGAGCAGTGCACGGAGCTTCCCTGGCCACCCCTGTGCCGAGGGGCCAGACATGCTGGCCGCTTCCAGGAGCTGCGCTGGAGTCAGGGTAGGCAGGGATCCTGCCTTAGCCCTGCTGCACTACTGACCGGACTTTTAACAGCCCAGTCAGCAGTGCTGACCAGAGCTGCCAGGGTCCCTTTTCAACTGGGTGTTCCAGTCAAAAATCAGATGCCTGGCAACTCACTGACCCATCCTGTCAGAGTCACAAATAGAGCCATGCTCAGCTAGTGGTGGCGGCTGCGGGTCTGTAAGGGGGAATGTTGTGCTCCTTGTGTATGGGCACTGATGTTTTATCTTTGAAAACTCGTGGCGAACGGGGGGAGTCCCGGATGACTGGAAAAAGGCTAATGTAGTGCCAATCTTTAAAAAAGGGAAGAAGGAGGATCCTGGGAACTACAGGCCAGTCAGCCTCACCTCAGTCCCTGGAAAAATCATGGAGCAGGTCCTCAAAGAATCAATCCTGAAGCACTTGCATGAGAGGAAAGTGATCAGGAACAGCCAGCATGGATTCACCAAGGGAAGGTCATGCCTGACTAATCTAATCGCCTTTTATGATGAGATTACTGGTTCTGTGGATGAAGGGAAAGCAGTGGATGTATTGTTTCTTGACTTTAGCAAAGCTTTTGACACGGTCTCCCACAGTATTCTTGTCAGCAAGTTAAGTATGGGCTGGATGAATGCACTATAAGGTGGGTAGAAAGCTGGCTAGATTGTCGGGCTCAATGGGTAGTGATCAGTGGCTCCATGTCTAGTTGGCAGCCGGTGTCAAGTGGAGTGCCCCAGGGGTCTGTCCTGGGGCCGGTTTTGTTCAATATCTTCATAAATGATCTGGAGGATGGTGTGGATTGCACTCTCAGCAAATTTGCGGATGATACTAAACTGGGAGGAGTGGTAGATATGCTGGAGGGGAGGGATAGGATACAGAAGGACCTAGACAAATTAGAGGATTGGGTCAAAAGAAATCTGATGAGGTTCAATAAGGATAAGTGCAGGGTCCTGCACTTAGGACGGAAGAATCCAATGCACCGCTACAGACTAGGGGCCGAATGGCTAGGCAGCAGTTCTGCGGAAAAGGACCTAGGGGTGACAGTGGATGAGAAGCTGGATATGAGTCAGCAGTGTGCCCTTGTTGCCAAGAAGGCCAATGGCATTTTGGGATGTTTAAGCAGGGGCATAGCGAGCAGATCGAGGGACGTGACCGTTCCCCTCTATTCGACATTGGTGAGGCCTCATCTGGAGTACTGTGTCCAGTTTTGGGCCCCACACTACAAGAAGGATGTGGATAAATTGGAGAGAGTCCAGCGAAGGGCAACAAAAATGATTAGGGGTCTGGAACACATGACTTATGAGGAGAGGCTGAGGGAGCTGGGATTGTTTAGTCTGCAGAAGAGAAGAATGAGGGGGGATTTGATAGCTGCTTTCAACTACCTGAAAGGGGGTTCCAAAGAGGATGGCTCTAGACTGTTCTCAATGGTAGCAGATGACAGAACAAGGAGTAATGGTCTCAAGTTGCAGGGGGGGAGGTTTAGATTGGATATTAGGAAAAACTTTTTCACTATGAGGGTGGTGAAACACTGGAATTCGTTACCTAGGGAGGTGGTAGAATCTCCTTCCTTAGAAGTTTTTAAGGTCAGGCTTGACAAAGCCCTGGCTGGGATGATTTAACTGGGAATTGGTCCTGCTTCGAGCAGGGGGTTGGACTAGATGACCTTCTGGGGTCCCTTCCAACCCTGATATTCTATGATTCTATGATGGACCAGGTCCAGAGATTAAATTTTGGGACAGGGGCAAGGAATTCCCCATGTGCTTAACTGTGCTATTGACATGGTGGTGATGGCCAGGGTGGGCGCTGCCAGACAGGCCAAGTGACTGGGATGGGTCAGGGATCCCCCTGGTGCTATTGACATGGCGGTGATGGCCAAGGTGGGTACTGACTGACCAGGACCGTGTCTGGGCTCTGGGTCTGCAGCATCATAAGCCCCAAGCATTGAGACGCCATGAGTCAGGGTCTCCAAAATCATAAGACTGGCCAAAAAATCCTGAGCTGTTGATTTTAAATCCACCCAGTTTGGATTCGTTTTCTCTGCTTTCAGGTGTCTGAGCCCTTGCAAGGGGGTGTCACATTTTGGAGCATTTGTGCATAATGGTAAGGCAAAGGGAGAGTCTTGAAAAAAATCACGGGACTCCAGGAGCTGGGTCTATTAATTGAAACACCTCAAGCTCTGGCTGGTTGGCGGTGGCCTGGAGCAGGGAGCCCCCATTTGGCTTCAGGCTTCATGTGGTTCTGGTGGCCAGGGTGGGCACTGACTGGCTGGGGGTTGGGATCTGGGTGGGACCTGGGGCTCCTTGGCTCACGGGGTTGAGATCCAGCAAACTCCCGCTCTCCCACCCGCCATTCTCCTCAGGAGCAACGGCTCTCTTCGAACTCCTCCCGCCAAAACACCTCCTCCGCTGTGATTGGCCGGAGGGTCTGGCCAATCAAAGGGCTGTTACTGGGCTCGGCGGGGAGGAGGAGCCACGTCCCTTCTCGAAGAAGGTTCTGTTGGAGGCGTGGCGCGCGTGCGGGCGCTAGGGTGGGGCTCGTGCTGAGTGTTGCAGAGCTGGAGTTTGCAGCAGCAGCAGTAGAGAGGTGCTGCAGAGAGGGGACGGTGCGCACCCCGGGCACTGTTCAGGGGGTGAATGATTGGGGTGCAGGGAATAGAGCATACCTCAGTCGTGGGAGGGAAATGGGTTCCCCGTTAGTGTGTGTGGGAGGGAATGGAGGACCCCCTTTGAGTGTGGGAAGCTGTGAGGGGAAATGGAGCTCTCTTTAGTATGTGTGTGAAGGGGTGATTATGGGGGAATGGAGTCCCCCCTTGTGTATGAGAGGCAGTTGTTGGGGGAATTGAGCTCCCTTAGTGTATGGGGGTCAATAATGAGGAGGGAATGGACCCCCTTCAATGCAGGATCTGGGTGGTGTACTGGAATGGAGAAGGATATGGATTTTTTGGAATAGCAGGGAATGGTTGTGAGGGGAAGCCCCTTGCATGGGTTGCAACTCTCCAAGCAATGTGTTGTATTTGGAGAGTGGGGGGAGGGGTCTGTGACCAAAAGAAGGTTGGGATCCTTTTGCCGCTTATGCTGAAACATCCATGTTTCTTATCTGTGTCTTGGCAGCATCTGTCCTGTCTCTGGCTGGCTCCCATCCTCAATGCTGCCACCTCACCTGGGTGGCTCTTAAGGTTCGTAGTGTTTGGCAGCCCCAAGCTTTCCAACATCCCTGTGCACGCTCCATTAACCTAAATAACAGGTACCCCATTACTTGTTGCTCCCTTCCTCGCTAGGGGAAAGGGAGTGGAGATCTGGGTGGGGCAATTTATTCCCAAAAGGAAACAAGCAGGGGTTGGTGGTAACAAACCAGTGTCTAATTACATCTCGGCACTGAAGGTGTCTGACAGTAAAATGCGAGGGGAGCTTTGGACTTGTCTGTGTTAAAGATTTGCTCCAATTACAGACATGGAGGTAGCTGCACTGGTAAAGCCATGAGAGGAAGGATGCTCTAGTAGTTAGGATGCTCGGGAGACCCAGGTTGAATTCCCTGCTCAGCCACAACCCGCCCCCGTGTGACCTTGGGTAAGTGACTTAGGCTTTGTCTGCACTACAAGCGCTAATGCAGCAGAGCTGCACTGCTGTAGTGTAGATGCTTACTACAGCAACAGACGGGTTTTTTCCATCGCTGTAGTAAATCCACCTCCTCAAGAGGTGGTAGGTAGATTGATGGAAAAATTCTTAGATTGGCTTAACTATATCTCGGGGGTGTAAATTTTTTATACCTCTGAGCGACATAGCTAGGTTGACCTAAGTTTTAGGTGTAGCCTCAGCCTCATTTTGCCTCAGTTTCCCATCTGTGCAATGGGATAACCTCACAGGTATATTGGGAGGCTAAACACAATAAAGACTGTGAAGCAATAAAATATTGCTGTGATGGCAACCATGTGAGTACCAGGGATAGATAGTTTGTGCGGGTAGAGCTTCTCCCTGTTTTGAGACCAGGGAAAGCTGAACCAGCAAAAATGGATGCTTATAGTGGTTCACCCTGCCTACAATATCTACACTATCTATCTATCCAGGGCTTGTGTACATGGGAAAGTCTTGCCAGTTATACTGATAGAGTTCTTTTGATATGTCCTATGTAAACTCTTATTCCTGTATAAAAGTGGCTTTTTTGGGTGTTTTTTTGTTTAAGCATAAACACCTTCCTAAGCAACACAAGCTAAACTGAACAAAGGCCACCCTTGCACCAGAATAAGCCATTGTCTACACACAAAAGTATCAGTTTAACAATACTGGTGGATTGTGTGGATTCATTTATGCATAATGGATAGGGCACTGGCCTGAAACTTTGAGAAATCTGGGTTCTATTCCTGGTTCTGCCACTAGCCTGCTGGGTGACCTTGGCACTCCTCTGTGTCTCAGTTTTCCAATCTGTAAAATGTGGCTAATGATACTGACCTCCTTTGAGATCTACTGATGAAAAGCACTGTATAAGACTGCCTATTAGTATACCAGGATAAAAGTGCTTATAGCTATTCCTATATGGGAAAGGGAATAAACTATACAGGGAGAACTGCATCCATGCTAGGTATTGTCTTGGTATAACTATGTCAGTCAAAAAAAAAAATCACACCTTGCCATGTACAAAAACTGTAGAGGAGCCCTTAAAGTGTCCATGTGTGCACCAGTTGTAATTATATAATTGGTATAACTATGCTGGTTTAAATCCACACCTTACGTTACAGAAGAAAACTTTTCCTTGTAGTCAAGGCCTTAGTTAATTACACAGCCTCCATCACTCTAGGATCTGAGCACCTTTAATGTATTTGTTCTCACAACACCTATGTGAAGCAGGGCAGTGCAGTTGTCCCTATTGTATTGGTGGGGAACTGATGCACAGAAAGACTAAGTGATTTACCCAAGCTCACGCCAGGTGTCTGTGGTAAAGCAGGGAATTGAACTGGGTCTCCTCTGTCCCAGATGATGAAAACCTAAACTGCTGGACCACCCTCATGCTAGAGAAAAGTTTTTGAACTGGTGCAGCTACATCCATGGCTGTTAATAGGGCACATGGTAACCAAAGCCTTACTGTGACTGCAGTACTGGTGGAAATTTCAGTAGCCCTGAAAACTGAAGTCCAGGGTCAGCCCCAGTGCAGGCTTCCCACAGCGCCTGTCCTGGAACTCGTGACCTAGGCTGATTCTGCACTGTTGGTCAAGCCGTGGTGGCAGCAGCAGGAGTATTATTGTAGACCTGCTTGCATTTTTACCCCTGAGTCATCAGACTTACTTCAGAACAGAGTCATGATGGTGGCTGACCTTAGTGCTCCCACCATTGCTAGGGCCGGCTGAGCTGTGGTGGTAGACAAATGGTGGGAGAATTGCCTTCAGTTCAGAGTGTAGATGAGGCCATATAGGGAAAGGTCCATATCCTACTTGCCAGTCTCACTGAGACAATTGAGCATTGCAATGATGGAGCCATTCTCCCAGTCCCTGATGCCCTGAATCCAGTTGTTCCCTGCCCCAACCTGGGGCTGGTTTGGAATCTGCTCTAGAGAGGAAGTTCTCTATGCCATTCGCTAATTTCCCAAGCCAAGTCATCCGCTTCCTGACCTGAGGTGGGGTGAGAGACTCCATGTGGCAGTCTGTGAGCTATCCAGTCCCCCCAACCCTGAGCTGGATTGGAATCAGTGCCCATTGGTGACTGACTCCCGATCCATTTCCCCAATCCACTGAGCGGGCTGGGTGGGTGCTAGTGACCCTAAGGTGACAGGCTGTGTACTGAATTATGGAAAAAATACCATATTTCACTACCATTCAATACACTTTTCTGTGAGAGTCTGTGCTCCGTGCCCCCTGCTAGTTAAATATATCAGTAACACTGTCTCAGGAAAAGTAGCACATGGATAATACATAGATTCCAAGGCCAGCAGGGACCATTGTGATAATCTGGTCTAAACTCCTGTATAACACAGGCCAGAGAATTTCCCTGAATTAATTCCTGTTTGAACCAAACAAGATCTTTTAGAAAAACATCCCATCTTGAATGAAAAATTGCCAGGGATAGAGAATCCGTCACAAGGCATAATAAGTGGTACCAATGGTTAATTACCCTCACTGTTAAAATTGTCCACCTTATTTCCAGTCTGAATTTGTCTAGCGTCAACTCCCAGCCATTGGAACTTACTAGATCTTTGTCTGCTAGATTGAAGAGCCCTCAATTATCAGATTTTTGGTCCCCAGGTAATCTCATAACCTGTGATCAAGTCACCCTTTAAGCTTCTCTTTGTTAAGATAAATAGATTTTGCTCCTTGAGTCACTCACTCTATGGTGTATTTTTCCAATCCCTTAATCATCCTTAAAAAGAAAAGGAGTACTTGTGGCACCTTTATTTGAGCATAAGCTTTTGTGAGCTACAGCTCACTTCACTGTAGCTCACGAAAGCTCATGCTCAAATAAATTGGTTAGTCTTTAAGGTGCCACAAGTACTCCTTTTCTTTTTGCGAATACAGACTAACACGGCTGTTACTCTGAAACTTAATCATCCTTGTGGCTCTTCACTGACTCCTTCCCAATTTATCATTGAGCCAGGAATAAAATAGTTTATAACAGTCACAGTCCTTCCAGGGGGAGATGGCTTGGCAGAAGCTTGCAGAAGCTCACTTCCTGTCTCCAGTCTTTCACTTTTAGGAGTACTAAATCCACCAAGGGTGCTCTGCTAGATAGAGCCTACTGCGTTCCCAGGACTGTGTTCCGTTTGCAGGGAATCTGGTGTCTTTGGTAACAAGAGGGAGGCTCTGCTGATATGTGCTCCCCTGTGGCCGGTTCTAAGATTCTCTATCGGAACTCCCGCCTCTTGCGCATGGCGTTCCTGCAGCTCCATCGCCAGCAGAGGGCAGATGTATTCTGTGATGTCATCCTGCAGGCAGAAGGTAACCTGAAAGAGGGCAGTGGATTGGTACCCACCTTTCTTGTACCTGGGACTGAATTGTCACCTCTCCTGTGCTTGTGTACATTTCCATAGAATATTAATTACACATAAGTATGTAGTTACATTTTAACATATAGGGCACTGTATGTACGCTCAGCCCTTAGCTTTGCTGTTTGCAGTGGCTGTTGTATCAGTGGGGACTGTGATACTGATGCGGCCTTGTGTGATAGGCGGCAGTGATGGGCTTGATTTGTTTGGAAATCATAAGTAGAAAAAGGTCTGCACAAAAGTGGAAGTACTTCCAAAGAGGTTTTGCAAATAACAGCCTTCCTACATGGTGCCAGATATCTGTCAGCAGACATACTAAGTGTACATCCTTGCTTGGAACATTGTGAGACCATTTTATATGAACTTCGCCCTCAGCTGCTTCATGTTCAGCTGACAATTTGAGCATATTTTGGTCTGTGAAAGTCTCTGACTCATTAATCAAACTAATCTTGAAGCTTCCTGATTTGTTAAGTGTGGGGGCGATTGTCTCACTAATATTTTTTAAGTGTCTTGTTATTCTGTTGAAACTTTTATTGGGTGACGGGAAGTTTCAAGCAACAGCCTCCTATCTCATTGCATCTATAAGCAAGGTCCCCACTGCTCTACAAAGTTTAATTCTTTTAATATTAACTGGAAGTACTGTCTTTGTCTGCTGCTAAGAAGAAGTGTCTTGGGAGTGGCATCCTTCGAATTAGTGAGGCTTCCGTATGCTTCCCTGGCCCTTTGTTTCAGAATCTGACTTTTGCAGATGGTGCACATAGAGTGTGAACCAAGACCCAGGACATGAGAGAGTGTGTGTGTTTGGGGAACATGGCCATGCATCTCACTGTCTTGCTCATACTGTATCTTGTTTGTTTCTGTATGTAAGGAAGCTTTTATTCCTTGCTGGCTGGTAGCTTTGGCTGTGTCAGGGTGGAACTCCAGAGAGACACAAACCAGCTGTTCTGTAGCTAGAGACATGTCTGTCAGTCTCTCACTGAAATAACATTTGCCTCGATGTGCCAGTGCTCAGTGTCCTCTTTCTTGGGTGTTTTTTGAAAGAGGAAATTAAATGAAAAATAAAATCCTTCCTTTAAGATAACATTCTGGTTGAAATCTGAAATACTGAAAACTCTGGCAGCATTGTACCTTCCTCTATAGTTCTCCCCCCCCCTTCTGGAGGGGAGGGTTTGGAGAAACTTCCTGGCTGCACATCACTGCTGCTAGCTGTCTCTTAAAGAATCAAAGAAGGTGCAGCCAAAGTGGCCACCCTTAGAGTATTCCAAGCTGCTCTGAGTAGCAGTGCTAGGGAGAGGCCAGGTTGTAGGTGCTGGCTGGGTTCAAGGCAGCAGGAGAGGCCCCCAGAAAAGTGAATACATTCTCAATAAAATCCCCGCTCCTCCAGGGTAATGGAGGGCCACAGGTCTGTCTGAGTCTCCCCTTTGTGGATAGTCACTAGACTGCTGGATTGGACCCAAATCTTTGGACCCCACATGCTTTCCAGCCCACTGGGTCTGGGCAGAGTCCAGACACTCTAGGTCTGGCCTCTTAAGCACAATCCTGGGGCACAGATCTCATCCGGTATCCCTCCCTGGGATGTGGGACCCTGCAGCCCAGCCCCCAGGACCAGTGTTGAACCACCCAGGCCTCCCTAGAAGCTTATGCATGCTCTCCCCAGAGCCCCACCCTCACGGTGGCTCCCTTGCATAGTTTCTCTTCAGGGACCATGTGCCATGGGATAGAAGAGGAATATGGAGAAAAGCGTGGGTGGCTTGTTATTTTTAAATGAAGCAGACAGCTTAATTTTATTTAGAGTGGGGTTTGTTAGTTTTATTTGGCTGTCGATGCAATTAACTGGAGCAGTGGAAGGAACCTCAGAAATAAAAGCATCCCCTTGAATTACCCTCCCCCTAGTATTAAATGGAAGCACTGTCTTTGCTACTAAGAAGTGTCTTGGGGAGTGGCATCCTTTGCTAGGGGAGGGGAGGGAAGGCTGGAGAGGGGGCCATGGAGATCTGATCTCTCCACAGACAAAAATGAAACCACATCCCAGCATAAGGATGCCGAGTTAGAGCTGCCTCAGGAACCATAACGTAGTGTTGCCAACTCGTGTGATTTTTATCATGTCTTGCAATATTTGGTGCTTTTCTTATCACCCCGGCTGCAGGAATTGGAAGACAGTAAGAGAATCTTTGCTTTAATTTTTTTTTTTAAAGTGTGTTTCTAGCCTTCCTTGTGCTTGTGGAGGAAAGCTTGAAAAAGTGAAGCAAGGACTTCTGAAAGTTTCTGAAATCAGAAGGCAAATAAAAATAACGATTTTAAGCCAATCTCAGGACTTTTTGGGTGGGGTCCAACTCCTGATTTTTGAATTTTTGGGGGTTGGTAATACCACGGCTTTGGGGTAGTTAAAATGTGAACTGCCCTTCTGCATAAGTGAGGTTTATTAGTACTGAATAGAAAGAAGCCGAGCCCGACACAGAGCAGGGTTCTTGAAAGGATGCATATTTGGAGACAGGAGCAGCACAGAGCAGGCCAACCCAAACCTAGGAAAGCACCCATTGTTAAAGGGATTGGAACAGGGTAGTAATAGTTAATGCAGTAGCAGAGCCCAGCTAACCTATGACGCTGATGGTCCACTCCTTTGTTTGCAGGAGAGGCTGTACCAGCTCACTGCTGCATTCTCTCTGCCTGCAGCCCCTTCTTCATGGAGTGCCTGGAGAGGCAAATGCCCTCCAAGGAGTGCAAAGTGGTGCTGGAGCTGCGGGGTCTGAAGATCGGGACACTGCGGAAGCTGGTGGATTTCCTATACACCTCGGAGATGGAAGTGTCCCGGGAGGAGGCCCGGGATGTCCTGGCTGCTGCCCGGCAGTTCCAAGTAGCAGAACTGGAGTCGCTGCAGCTGGAGGGTGGGAAGCTGGTGAAACAGGTGCTGGGTCGGCGCTTGAACCGGAAGTGCCTGCAGCCGCCCTGCCTGGTTCCTATCTCTGCTAGGGTTGTGCCGCAAGCCTGCCCTCCTGCTCCCACTATCCCACAGACATTCCACCCCCTGGTGGCAGGCAAGCAATGTACAGCAAAGCCCCCAGCTGATGGTGGGGTACATGCCAGCAGCACCACTAGTCAAGCGGAGAGCGCCAAGTATTGGGCGGCTGTAGTACCTCAGAATGGGGGAGCCCAGTCGGGGATGCAGGGTGTGGTGGCTCCCGTGCAACCAGTGGAGACTGGGAACGTGAGAACCAAGAGCCACTACTTGGGCTTAGACAGGAGCCTTGGTGTGGGGAGCACACTGGGCAAGGCTGAAGGGTCACAGGGTGAGAGGAGCGCTGAGCAGGCCTTTCCCAGCGAGGGCTGCACCACAGACTGCTCACCACTGCCAAGAAAGATCAAGCTCAGCCGCCTGAAACTGCCGCCTCCCCCCAGTGCCTGTGCCACGAAGGCACCCCCCACTGTAGCACCTGGCAAGACCCCCACATCCATCCGGCGCCTCTGGCGGCAGAAGACCCCAGGCTGGGATGAAGCAGATGGGCCAGAGCAGGCCAGCCCCTCTTGCCATGGCGGGAGCCTCCCTGTGCCTCCAAAGACCAGCAACAGGAAGCACAGCTCCAGTGCATCGGCTTCTGGCTCAGACACTGCCCCAGAGGAGGGGCATGTGGGTAGTGTGAAGCTCAGGAAGGTCGTCAATGGGAGTTGCTGGGAGGTGGTACAAGAGACATCAGCCAGGGAGCCCAAGGGAGCCCCAGTGACAATGGGAGAGACAGGCACCTCCCTTGTGGCTTCCCCACCCAGCTCCAGACCGCACAAGTTTACGCACTGGCCAGAGCTGCCAGGGACGTGGGCAGCCAGCTCCACTGAGCTGCTGGCTGGAAGGTTGGAGGCTGTGCTGCTTCCTGAGCAGGTGACAGTAGAACAGGGACCTTCAGATGGGAGAGATGGCTGCAGGGACCCTTATGAGCTGGACATGGCGGCATTGGAGCCCTTGAGTGAGAATGAGGAGTTTGGGGACTCAGCGCCGCTGGAGCAGATGCTGGACCTGCTGCTATCAGGCAGTGGTGTTGAGGGCTTGGGCGCTGCTGGGCCAGGAGGAACGGCAGGCTGTGCCCCTTCCACGGGCCCATCACATGGGCCAAACATGACACCCATGGGTGCTGCTGCAGCAGGCGAGGAGTGGCATCCCCCAGAGATGCAGCTGTGGCCAGAGTGGGACGACCCAGGAAAGGGGCCCCTGCCAGGGTGGGAGGTGGGGGGTGGTCATTCTGCCCTTAGCACTGCAGATGGGGATCCCCTGGGGCAGTCTGTGAGTGGCCATCTTGTATCCAGGAGGGTTCTCTCTAGCGGTCACCACCCCACCTCATTCAGCCCAGTGCCTCTGGCTCCTGCCAGCCCCCAGACTCCTCAGCACCCTTCACTGACAGCTGGCAGCAGGGAGGCTCAGTTGGGCCCACTCCCCAGTGTCCCTGCGGAAGATGGCATGGGGAAAGGGCAGGGACCCTGCACCACCCAGGCTGCTGGGATGGAGACAAAACTTCAGCTTCAGGCACCCTGGGGGCTGCCCCGAAGCAGCCCAAAGCATGGCCCTTTGGACCATCAGCCCCCTGACAGTCCGGAGGGCGACGAGATTGACATCATGGCCGGCGCTGAGGAGGCACTGGTACCTGCTGGCATCACCTGCGTCAGGCCTGACCCCTCCTCGGAGTCTGATGAAGAGGTGGACATTCTGAACTAGTGGCCACCAGGCCTGGTCTATAGCGGAGGGGAAGGGCGTCTAGCCTATGGGAGCCATCACAGCCAGCTGGCCACTGAGGTGTAGCTGCCATAGCTGAGACTGACTGTGGGAAGCTGCTAGTAACAAAATGAATCAGGTTGTTGGAGTGGGGAGCTCTGCAGACCTTGACAGTGGGAAGAGCTGTCCCACTGCTAAAGGGCTCTGCAAGTGGGGGACAGGGATCAGTTGGAGGGCACAGCTGGGGTGAAGCCAGGATGGAGGTGCAGCATCCTTTCCCCTACCCTCCCATTAATTCTCGGATGGGGCTGAGTCATACACAGGGAGGTCACTGAGATTTAAACCAATGTGCTGGTCACTCGATGACGCAGTAGGACTGAGAACGGGGTGGCCCCAGTGTTACCTACTTTGTTGTTGGAGCTCTGCTGACCTCTGTGGTTGAATAATCTTAACGCTGCTTCAGTTCTGCTGAGCAGCCTGTGTTTAGAGGACAGGAGGCTGGAAAGAGAACAGCCCTTCCCAGTCATCTGGAGCTTCCCCTCTGCCTGTGCTAGGACAGAGGGGTGCACATGTTGAAGAAGCCTTTCCTGCTGTCACAGCCCCTGTCAGACCCACTGATATTTTGCTGATGTACAAGGTAGAGATGTGTGGGTGCAGAGAAAGAAGGGAATGAATGGGCCCAGCATGGATGAAATGGTGGAAATATCAACTGGGGGTGGTAGCCAGCACCCCTGTATGTTGTAGAGTCTCTTTAAAGGTGATGCTAACAGTACTCTCTCACAGGTGCTGTCAGATCACACTCCCACCTCCCAGTGCTGGGACCCAGGATAGGCCTTGCCTAATTGTCTTAAGTTTCTTTCCTGCCCCCGTTGTGCATTTAGCTTAAGCTTTTTCCTCTACGTTTATGTACATAAACATCTTAACCTTCCTAAACCTGGCCCTGGGGACACAGGCCACAGATGCTGGTGGAGCACCATTAGGAGCTCCTAAAGCTGCAGCCAGGACTCTAGTTTTGCAAAATATCTGGCCAGCAGTGGTACCAGCCTACCTGCCTCAGCTGTGGAGTCATGGCTATCTCAGGAGCAAACTCCACTCCTGCCTGGCAATGCAATAGCACAAGCCACCATCCCTCATTTCCCATTATCGCACTGCTGCCCCATTAACCTGTTGTGCATCTCATCCAGAGTTGATGGTTTCCTGTTATGGTCCAGCTGCCCTCCACAGCACATGTATCCCTCCACTGACAAAGAACACCAGCTCCATAGTTACTTAGTCCTCATCTTCATGTATCACTGTCCTAATGAGAACATCTGTTACCCTTAACATCCACATGTATTTTCACCCCCCTCCCTCTCTTGGGAACTATGTGAACTTTGTGCCATGCTCCCTCCACTTCTCTTGCTGCAGGGATTGGCCCCTGCTCCAGCAGCCCCTTTGGCAATGGAAAAATACAGGTGAAAGCAAGGACAGCCTGGAGTGTGAGAGGGTGGGGCTTGTTTGAAATAAAGAGTTTGTTGGATTTGCCTCTTGTTTGTTCTGCTGGATTGGCCCTCTGTTACGTGGACTGCACCTGCTTTCCTAGCCAGGCAGTGCAAGCTGCCAGGAGCCATTTCCTCCCTCCTGCAGGAGCAGAACACCTGGCAAGACTCCTAACAGAACACATGAGCATGTCCTTGAGTGGGGCTCTCCACTGCTGCCTGCAAGATGTTCAACATAGGGGGAGGAGGAGAAGGTGCAGTCCAGCTGACCAGCCTGCATGGTGACCTCTGAGCTATCACCCCACCTTGCTGCCACTTACAAAGAGGTTTTTTTAGAAGCTTTATTACAAAAAAGTCTAACCACAAAACAGTGAAAGATGATCTGCTAAGGAAGGCCAGAGGTTGCTTGTGGGAGCAAAGCGAAGAGCAAAACAGAAGCGAAGGACAGAGTGGCGGCATCTGGCCCACCACTCCCCGTGGGAAGAGCTGCAGCATCAGAGACATGATTGAGGTTTGGCCATCGGCTCCCCCCCACTGCACCATGCCTCATCATGGATGCTCCGGTCCATGCAAGGAATGGATGGGTCCTAGACCCAGCTGCCAGGATGAGAGAGAGAAAGGTGTCAGCCCTGGCTGTTCACACAGGAAAATATAGCCACCTCACTCCTGCACTAAGCATCCAGTCATTTGGACCCAAAACACTGACCTACATTAGCCTTGTTTGCTAGAGGCAGCCACATTGAGGTCACCCTTAAGCCAGTGACAAGCCTGCAAACTTAAGGGGTGACAGCTCCTTGAGAAGAAGGATGGTCCACAGGTCAGTGTACTAGCCCAGCACTTGGATTTTCAGGTATGTTGTGATTCCCTCATATTACCTTTATCTGGGGAGCTAAGTGCTCCCACCATGGGGGAGAGACCACGCAGCATGTGGATGGGGTTTCTGCTGAGCAGTTGGAATACAGAGCATGACACTGAAGTACCTGCCATGCCATGCCTGCTACCTCCTCCCCATCACAAGCCATTTTTGATGGATCCAGCCCCGCTTCCAACTCCAGGAAAGGAGACACTCCACCCTCATAGGAATAGCCAACACAGCCTGGACTAGGTTTTACTCTCTAGGCGTTCTGGGCTTGGAACAGACCAAGGCTCCAACAACAGTGGCATTCTCGCATCCCTAGCGCTAGCCTGCCTTAACTGGACACGCTGAACTTGTCAGCAATGTGCCCTATAGCAGATATTTGATTAGACACAGGTACAGAAATGACCACAGCTGCATGGAGTCGGATCTTTTAGTGACAACCATGTGTTTTGGCTCCCATTAGCCCTGCAGAGACACCACCGCTTAGAGAGTGCAAGCTGGACTCTATTCTTCCTTGTGCATTATCTGCTGGCCCTGATGCTAGGGCTTGGCTATGGAGGGCAAGGAGGTGACTCAGGGGTCGTTCACAGTGTAGTTTGCTCTGCAAGACCTTTATGACTGGCCATGATACAGGAGAAGGAAAGAGCCCAGCTTGACTTGGGGACCCCAGGTGGTGCCGGCAATTAAAAAAAGCGCAAGCTGAGGGGGTTTGTGCTGGAGTCAGACACGGATCTCAACCGTACTAATTGTTAGTCACTTCTCCCCTCCTCCCTCTGATTTACAGTGGCCATCCCTTCTGCTAGTCCAGTCTGGGAGTAGGAATAACTCACCTCGGTGTAGCTCTGCTTTAGACCAAGCTGCTCTTAAGCATGTCAGCCACCTTCTCTGGCTCAGGGAACTTGAGCTTGCGAGGTGGCCCTTTCTTAATGCCGCTCCATAGCTCCACCGCTGAAACCCCAACAACAAGGTAGGGGTGGTTACGTGTGGGATGCTACCTATTGGTTTCTATTGCAGTAGACCCTGGAGACCCCCACTGAGCAAGATATGGGGCCTGTATTGTACCACGTGCTGCACAGACCTGCCCCCAAGCGAATTCAGGGGCCCCAATGTGCAGCGCCTGGTACAGACTCCCACTGACCGAGTTCAGGGTCCCGCCAATGTACCAGGCACTGCACAGACAGCCCCCACCGCAATTAAAATCAGGGGCCTGCACTGCACAGGCCCCTACTGAGGCACTATCTCTGCCCCACAGAACTCTGAACAGTCAGACAAAGAGTGAGAAAGGGATAATATATGCCTTTAGGAACCTAATCATGAAGTAGCTCACCGCATGAGGAGCTCACCACATCAGCCTGTGCCAAATTGGGCAATCTCACAAAGCAACATGTGGGCATCCCTACCCCAGGGTACAGTCACCCAGGCACTTTTCCCTGGCACTGCCCTGTCCTGGCTCTCCCGTGCCGCCTCAATCATTGCACCCTGACTGAGCACTGCTGTACAGAAACTCCAGCACTTACTTCTTCCATCCTCTTTCACCAGGGACACCTCAAAGCTGTTCCTGCGTGGTGTCTTGGGGTTGATCTCCACCACCACGTTGGCAATGGTGCGGCGCAGCGCCTGGCTCACGGCGTCGGCATTGCGCCTGTAGACTTGTCAGCTCTTACTGCGGGGGAGGAGGGAGTGATGGGGGTCAGCAGGGCTGGCGATTCCACTAGCGGGCCTCTTGCAGAGGAGTTAGCTGAGCAAACCAGCAATGCCACACTCTCAGCACAGCCCAGCCTCAGCCATGGCCACATCCCCCAACTCAGTACCTGTGCCCCTGCCCCCCAAACCTGCTCCCCCTCTGGAATTGTGTCTAATTCCCCCGCAGATAATCCTCCCCACAGACAGGTCCCCTCCTGCCAGCTATTGGCACCCATCCACCACCTGAGCATCCCTGGTGCCTTCCACAAGAACATAAGCCTGCTGGGGCTTAAAAACACCCACCCTCTTGCACCGACCAGGACTCACCAATGCTCAATAACCACCCGGGGTCCAGGCCCCCGACTTCCTTCGCCCCTTAACCTCTTTGGCAGTGTATTGGCACCACCATTTGGCTTCACATCCTCAGAGTTCACAGCCTTTGCCTCAGGCTCCTTTGCCTTCCTCTTCCTCCCTTTGGGGGCCATCGTGCTCTGGGAGAATAAACAAGAGTCCCTTACCATGCATCTCCGGTATTTTTCAATCCAGATGGAATGTTTTTGGAACAGATCTGCTCTGGCTCAAACAGGAGTTAATCCAGGGAAGTTCTCTGGCCTGTGTTATTCAGAGGGGGATCAGGATACATGATCACAGCGGTGCCTTCTACCCTTAGAGGCAGGACCGCAGGCCCCATCCACGCAGCCACAGAAATAACCGGGGGGATTGGGGAGTGGCACAAAGTGTAGAGTCTTTCAAGGGACAATGAAAACCAAGAGGCGGGCGGCAAGAGGACTAGAACAGCAAGGGGTGGGGGAGATAGGGCAGGGTCAAGGGGCACCAGCATGTGTTTGCAGGGCAGGACTGAGGGACACCAACAAAGCGAAAGAGGCGATGGCTAGGACTAGATGGACCAGGAGACAGGGCAGACTCGAGGCGCGTTATCAGCAGGGCGTTGGTAAAGCACCCCCCAGCACCTACTTCCTGCAATTGGTACCAGTAGCGTCTTTCCTGAGCACCCCAGCGTTGGGGGTCTAGGCGGAGCAGCTCCCCCGCCCCAAGCAGTGGAGCCCAGACACCAATGCACCAGCCCCCCCCCCCGAAGGACAGCACAGACGTGGGCAAATGAGACCTCCCTAGAGACAGCCACACAACCTACCTCCTCCCCAGCAAGGGCACAGCAATGAACCACAGCGCAGCCACGCGGGCCCGCCAGCCAGAAGAAATGGCCCTGCTCCCAACCATTTGAAGCCACAGAGAGGGGGAACAGAGGAAAATAAAGGTGGGGAAAATAAAGGAGCAGCAGCTGAACCAGCCCTGCCTTTGTCCCCGGTACAGCTGAGCGTGATCGGAGCCGCTTCAGGATCCAGCCAGGACAGTTTTGTAATGAAGACACATAGAGCGGTTTGTACTGCACAGCCTCCCCCCCACATCTTTCTGCAGGATGGTTCCTGCCCGAATTTGTTACACAACGTTCTAAATATTAATGAGGCTTCTTTGCAGCCAATCAGAGCTCAACCTGGGCTGTTGAGACTCGGTGTCTGCGGCAGGCCTGGGCCTAGCTCAGCTGCCCCTCCCCTCCCCGCGCAGTTCCCAAAGTCTCCTCTGAGACTCCCGCAACATGACCGTGCAGGGCTGCAAGTGTCCCGCGGGGACCTCGGTGCCGTGAGCTTTCCTACAGCAGTGCCAGCAGGGACCTGTCCCAACTCCCGAGAGCTTCCTTACAGCAGTGCCCATCAGGGACCTCAGCACTGTGAGCTTCTCCACAGCAGTGCCCAGCCCGGACCCATGGAACATGAGTTTCCCTACAGCAGTGTCCAGCAGAGACATCAGTGCTGCAAGCTTCCAAGCAGTGCCATCTCCAGGAGTACAAGTTTCTTCACAGTAACATGCACCCGAATGCTGTGACCATGTGAGCTTACTCCCAGAAAAGCACCTGTGAGCAGCAGGGGGCACTTGGGCCTTTCAGGTGTATTGGACCCGATTTGGTACAGAAGGGCACTGTACAAACAGGCAGCATTGGCCTGTTGCCCCTGCTGGTGGTTCTCAGCACTGAGCCATTGCCAGTACAGCCCTCCCATTGTGCCAGGGAATCCTGATGCAGGCTTTTCAGACTACGGTTTGCAGCCTAGCCCAACACCCCCTCTGGAGCCTCTTCCTCCCACCCACAGGTAGTGAGATCAGAGCAAGGCCAGTCCCACAGGGTAGGAACCCTTCAACAGCTCTTCTTAAACTGGACTGCAGCCACCGCTACAGAGCCACGACACAGAGCTCACCTGCAGCTGGAGGCAGCTCCCTGGACCTAGGACTGGCCTGCTGAGATAAGCAATGGCTCAGTGAACATCCACCCCACCCCAGGAGACAGCAAGCTGGGAGGGGAAGGTTCATTCTTAGACTGGTTTATTACCGACACTGACAAGGGAAGAGATGATTAATAGGACAAAATACTCCATGCTTTCAGGAGCCACAGCTGCTGAGCCACCACAACTTCCTCTCCCCTTCATGGCAGGGATGAAGAGGCCCTTGCTATGATTCAGGAGGGGCAGTGCCCCAGGCAGCTGCAGGCACAGAACAGGGGAGCCCCTCTAGGGCCATCCAGTCAGTCCCCCCTCCAGCTCGCAGAGTTCAGGTGCTGCACTCAGCCTGGCACCACCTGCCCTCCTTGCCCCATGAGCTGACTTTTGGCACTTGAAGGGTTAAACCAAGTCCAGTTGAAAGGGAAAGGGAACTAGTAGTGGCCTGGCCCTTCAGTGGGCAAGGGGCAGAAGTCAGGCACTGGCTAAGAGTCCTCCAGAGCAGCAGAGTTCAGTTCCCACCAGCTTCTGGCTGGGATGAGAGAGAGTCACATGCTCAGGCTGCTCTGCTCCCTACCCCCAGAGCAGCACATATGCTCCAGCTCCTCTCCCCACACTGTTAGGCACAGGCCAGATTCCCCCAGCCACTGGGTTAGCCAACAGGGGAAGCCTACAGCCCTCCCAAGCGAGGCGTGGGGGAGAACAGGTCCAGTGGGGACCTGACCTACACCCAACACATGCACTATACAGCTGGGAGGAGTCCCATGCACCTCCTTACCCCCAAACAGAAAAGGGGGGGGAGGAGAGAATATCTTCCAGCAAGAAGTGGTTGGGCCCATCCACAATACACCCCCATCCCAAGCTGGTTCAGCCCAAGTCAACACTCCCCCCCCCCCCCCCAGCCCCCCTTGGTTCCATTCAACCTGGAGAGGCTGCACCCTCAAACCCAGATGCTCTAGAGCCCTAGGGGAATTCTATCCCCAGCCCCTGCTGGACCAATCACGGCCCACTCCTTGCAGCCAATCAGCAGCCTGCAGCCAGTTCTTGAGGTGATGCCAAAGAGGATCAGGAATAAATAAGATGCTGCAGAGACATGAGCAGTCCAGCATGGCCCACTGAGGAGCCAGGGCACAGCTGAGCCCCAGAGGGAGGGTGGCGACTTCCTCATGCAGCTCCCATCGTCATCATGGTGCCATCTTCAAGACAGGTTGTGCTGGGCACCATGGCACAGCAGCCAGGAGAGGATGAGGGGGGACAACTACAGGGAGCGAGGCAGATCTATTTGTCCTTCTTGCTCTCGCCGTTGGGGAGCTCTGTGCTGGCCGCCAGGGGATCCTGCTGCTCCAGTGGCTCCTTCTGCCCCTCGTCTCGCTGCTTCGACAGCTTCTTGGCCTTCTGGTACAGCTCGTTCAGGCTGAACTCTCGGATCACGTTCTCCTGCGGCACAGAAACAGACCTCAGTGCCTGCCCTGCCACCGCCTCAACCTGCTGCAGGCAACAGCCTCTTTCCAGGAACAACAGAGGAGGAAGGGGGCAGCACCATAGGTCTGGCCAGCCGCTGGCAGCTTGGGGTAAGGGGATCCCTCAATGCCCTGCAGGCTGGGTGCAGATTGCCCAGAGTCATGTCGCAGTGGGGAGCAGGGAGCTCTGGGGGGGATGGGGAGGGGGGTATGTCCTGATGGTGTGTGGGAAGCTCACCTGCTCACAAGAAATGAGTTAAGAGGAAAATTCTGCCCTGAAGCCAGTAACGCTGGCCCAGGGCAGGAGTTCAGCAGGGGAAGGGCCGAACAGAGAGGATGGCCCTATCCAGCCCATGGCTGGCGCAACAGAGCCAATGCCCCAATGCTCAGGAAAGAGCCCACCGATTGAACAGGCAGAGCTGAAGCTAGACAACTCCTGCAGCAGCCCAGGAAGGGTCACGGATTAGACATGCCCCTCGCCCTACAGCGTGCATCCCACCTCGGAGAAGGTCCAGGAGACGGCCCGGCCCTTCTTGTCAATCTGCGGCCGGCGCATCACCTCCTTCCCGCCCTGGAAGAGGATCAGGGTGGGCAGCTGCTTGGTGAGGGGTGAGGTACTCACTTTGTACCTGTGGGGATGGATGGACGGATAGAGTGACCCCTTGGAGCACCACACGATCTCAACCCCCTCCCCACCCACTCCTCAGGCTCTGCATTGCTCTTTCCTTGCCCCTGAACACATCCACATCCCACTTCCCAGGCAACAACCTCCACCTCAATCCAAGCTAAAAGGACAGTCTCTGTGGTTGCACGTGGAAGTCAGCAACATCCAAAGGGCTCGGGATCAGCAAGGAGGGATGCAGACTCCCAGAGCTCATTAATTTCATGACCTCTCTGAAGCAGGGCTGAGCGGGGAGTAGACTACCCAGGGCTACTCCATCCAGGGAAGGAGGTCTGGTTCCCAACACAGCCATATCCCTCCAGGGAAAATCCCAACAGAGAAGAGACCCCTGGTGTGAAGGAGTGACCCTCAGCATCCTCATGGCTGGGCTGTTGCTGAGTCGGTTGGTGTGGGGGAGTGGAACTAGCCCACTTTTGCCCACATTGTGGAGGCATGAAACTGATCTAGTTACTCATGGCAGCCTGGACCCGCTCACCTGGTGCTGACATCAGGGTAGCGGCCCACGTCCACCTTGCCGAAGTTGAGCCCCATGCAGTTGTACCTGGGTTGGGAGGGGAGAAGCAGTTAGTGCAGGGAGATCCCAATGCATGGGAGGGGAGCGTGGGGGCAAGAGCACATGGCTGGGCTGAATCCTCTACCACAAACCCCAGCGGGGTCAGCTCCATTCCCTGCCCCGGGGCAGTCTCAGTCAAGAGGGTGGCAGGGGTTCCCCCTCCCTCACTCACCGAATTACCAACCGGGCGCCACTCACTTGAGAGAGAGGTCGGCGTAGATGGGCGCGAACGACTGGCACTCGTTGGACCAGTTGGCAAAGAACTCCACAATCCAGGTCACCCGCTTGTCCTGCTCCAGTTCCTCCTGCAGCACAGGCAGAAGGGTCAGCTGGAGGAACCACACCCCACCTGGACACTGCCCCCACCTGCTACAACTGGTACCACGAGGGCCACAGCCCCACACCACCAGCCCAGTGCCCCCTCTCTGGGGTCACAGCATGGGCTGCAGAGATCAGCAACTGCAGGCTCAAGCTGGTCCCCAAGCCACAGCAGCCCACGTGCGAATGGTGGCCTGGGGGCTATGGGGCCGCCGATACTCACGTGGATGGTTTTATCGCTGAAGTATTTGATATACTCCGGGCCCAGGTACAGAGGCGGCTTACAGGTCATCAGGAACACTGAAAGTACACACACACATCACAGCATGAGTCACTTCACACTGTACAAACCCCCACACCAACAGCTATTTACTCATCAACCGTATAATCGGGCTTAAAACAGACTCACCCCCCAGCACACACACACAGGTGAGGAGTTGGGACTGCTGTGACTGGCTGCACTTTGTGGGCTTGGACACAGATTTGAGGAGAGGAGGCAGGGAGCCCAGGCAGGCACAGAAATCAAACCTTTGGTTTCCAGGACTAGGTTGCTTGCTCTGTGGCCTTACAGGAAGGTCAGATAAAGCATCTCATGCTGGGTTTCTGCCCTAGTGGACGGGGGGAAGCTGTAGATGTGATATACCTGAATTTTAATCAGGCTTTCGACAGTCTCATGTGATGTTCTCCTAAGCAAACTAGGGAAATGTGGTTGAGATTAAATTATTATAAGGTGGGCGGCCAGCTGGTGGAAAGTGTGTACTTAAAGAACAGTCATCAGTGGTTTGCTGTCAAACCGAGAGAGTGTACCTAGTGGGGTCCCGCAGGGGTCAGTCCCGGGTACAGTAGTATACAATACTTTCACTAATGCCTTGGAAATGGAGTGGAGAGTATGCTTCTAAAATCTGCAGTCAACGCCTAGCTGGGAGGGGCTGCAAGCACGTCAGAGGACAGGATTAGAATTCAGA